CAGGTCACCACACCTCACACACATCAGCTCACATAGATCATCTGACCCTCACAGGACATCCATCACACAGGTCACGTCACACTCATAAGATACCTCACCCACACCCTCACCTGCTGGGCGTCCTGAAGAACGGCCTGCTCGGAGCTGAGCGCACGGGCTTGCCTCGCCCTGGGGCGGGGCTTGGGGAAGGCAGATCTGGCCGCCGGAGACGCGGTGCGGATGGAGACGAGGGATTTGGATTTGTGCGGGCGGCTGTGCACCGCCAAGGCGGCGTTGGCGCGCGGTTCATGTGGGCCCAGGACGGGGCGGGAAACTGCGATGCCCCCGCTGCGTGGGGCAGGGCCGTGGGGCGGTCTCCGAGGACTGGGCGCGGCAAGCGGTGAGCGTTTCACGGAACTCGCGTTTTTCAGTCTTCGTAACCCAGGAGGAAGCCCATGGCGTCCTGCACAGGCAGCGGCGCGCCAACTCGTTCCTGGAGGAGCTGCGGCCGGGCTCCCTGGAGAGGGAGTGCAAGGAGGAGCAATGCTCCTTCGAGGAGGCCCGGGAGATCTTCAAGGACCTGGAGAGGACGGTGAGCGCAGCCTCGGGGCGCCCCGCACCGCTGAGACTGCAGGCGGCGCTGGACCAGGCCGTGTGGGGCCGCCTGTGTCTCTCCGGCTGTGGCTGTGAGCGGCGAACACGCAGCGGCGCCCGCACTGCGCTTCCTGCGGGGGTCGCTTTCCGCCTGGGGTGACTCCGCTTTCCTGGGCGATTGCCCTCCCTCTCCCCGTGTCCCCTACCAGGCACACGCTCTCCCTACGCGGGCACTCCGCGCATGCCGGTTTTCACATCAGAAAATACGATTTGAAAAGCACACCTAGGATGTCCCCCTTAACTTCCCAAGGGAGGCCCCCCAGTCCCCTAAGGATGCGGGGCAGTCTGCGCATCACGGATGCGCGGCTCACAGAAGGGACGCGGTGAGAAGCTGGCCTGGGGGAGCTGCTCGCGGCCTACACCATGCCACCAGCCGCACCTCCGCAGGGCACATGTCGGGGAGAAAAAACGTGTGGGGACCTGGGGCTTTCTCCACCTCACACTCACAGGTCACCTCACACAGGACACCTTACACTCAGGGTGCACTTCAAACTCACAGGTCATTACACCTCACACAAGACACCTCACACAGGGCACACTTCACACTCACGGGTCACCTCACATTCGACACCTCACACAGATCACCTCAGAGGACACCTCACACTGGGCACACTTCACACTCAGGACACCTCACACTCAGGGTGCACTTCAGACTCACAGGTCATTACACCTCACACAGATCACCTCACTCTTACAGGACACTTCACACTCACAGATCACCTCACTCTCACAGGACACTTCGGACAGGACACACTTCACACTCACAGGCCACCTCAGGTTATGTCAAACTCACAGGTCCCCTCACACAGTCACCTCACACAGTGTACACTTCACACTCACAGGTCCCCTCACACAGGACACCTCACATAGTCACCTCACACAGTGCACACTTCACACTCACAGGTCCCCTCACACAGTCACCTCACAGGGCACACTTCACACTCACAGGTCCCCTCACACAGGACACCTCACACAGTGCACACTTCACATTCACAGGTCCCCTCACACAGTCACCTCACACACAGGGCACACTTCACACTCACAGGTCCCCTCACACAGGTCACCTCACACTCACAGGATGCACTTCACACTCATGGGTCCCATCACACACAGGACACCTCACACTCGTCACCTCACACACGTTACATCAAACTCTCAGGTCCCCTCACACAGTCACCTCACACACAGGGCACACTTCACATTCGCAGGTCACCTCACACCAGGCCCACGACTCTCACAGGTCACCACACCTCACACACATCAGCTCACATAGATCATCTCACCCTCACAGGACATCCATCACACAGGTCACGTCACACTCATAAGATACCTCACCCACACGTCACCTCACACAAATCACCTCGCTCACACAGATCACCTCACACACAGGACACAGATCACCTCACAGGGCACACTTCACACTCACAGGTTCCCTCACACAGGACACCTCACACTCACAGATCACCTCACTCAACACCGATCACCTCACACAGGGGACACTTCATTCTCACAGGTCACCTCACATAGGACATCTCACACACAGGTCACCTCACTCAGATCACTTCACACAGGGCACACTTCACTCACAGATCACACCTCACCTCCCACTCACAGATCACCTCACTCTCACAGGGCACCTCACTCTCACAGGGCACCTCACACAGGGCACACTTCACTCCCACAGGTCACCATACCTCACACAGATCACCTCATACAGATCACTTCATTCTCACAGGATACCTCACACAGGGCACACTTCACACTCACAGGTCACCTCACACAAGGCACCCTTCACACTCACAGGTCACCACACCTCACACAGATCATCTCACTCTCACAGGACCCCTCACACTCAGATTATCTCACACTCAGGTCGCCACACCTCACACTCTTAAGATATCTCACGCAGGATGCCTCACAGTCACAGAGAACCACATCTCATATGCACAAGACACTTCACATTCACAGGACACCTCATGCTCACAGGAAGCCTCACACTCACAGGAAGTCCAGCTGTCTGAGACAAAGGCTAACATGACTCTTTCCGGGCAAATTGAGGATGGTCATGCCTAGCATTTTTATCCACCTAGTTTTCAAAGCATTTCTCATCTGTTGTATTCTCACAGCACCCTGTGAGTTTAAGTTTAGGTGGCCAACAGTTTCTTCAGCAATCACTTTTTTCTGTGGAGTGCTTTTGCTGTTTGTGGAAGATTTTGCATCTGCTACTGCACCCTCTCCCGGTGTCAGCCGGTGTGTGTGGCCACCCTGTCAGAGATGGAGCTGTGGCTCAAAGCCTGTGTACCTCATCCCAGGTCCACAGCTCAGCGACAGAAGAGTCAGGGCTGAACCTCGGGTGTTCTGACCTGGGAGCAGGAAATGTGTGGTCACCCATAGTTTAAGAAGTCCTGGGGAGGGGCCAAGATTGGAAGAAATCTACCTCAGCTCTGCAGGAAAGTCTGGCTTCCTGAGCCCACCCTGCAAGGCCCAGGTCCAAGTTCCCCAACCCCAGCTCGTGGTTTGTCCAGTGCTCACCGTTGGGTGCGCTGGTGAAGGTGCTCACGAGGCTTTCTCTTTTGTTCCCTCAGAAGCTGTTCTGGATTTCTTACAGTGGTGAGTAGATGATCGCCACCAATCCTGCCTGCAACGCTTCTCCTCAGCGTACTGACGCCAGCCCATTCCACAGATGGGGACCAGTGTGCCTCAAATCCGTGCCAGAATGGGGGCTCCTGCAAGGACCAGCTCCAGTCCTATATCTGCTTCTGCCTCCCTTCCTTCGAGGGCCGGAACTGTGAGAAGAGTGAGGCCCCACTTTGGGTCCCATATTTGCAGAGGGCCCTGGGGAGCTGGTAGCGGTGGCCTGGCCAACCAGGTTGCAGGGTGCACAACCTGGTGGGGTGTGTGGACCGGGCATTCTGGGCTCAGCCCCAGTTGGAATTTGGTCTAGGTGACCTTGAAGTCCCTTCTAGTCTGAGGTCTTTGACAGGGACCCAAGGTTCTAATTCTCAGACTCAGTGGCCCCTTGGGCTCCCGGCCCTGGGCAATTCTCAGCCCTCGAGATGGCCCAGCTGAGAGTCCCTGTGTCCCTGTCCCACTTCCACGTCCCACCAGGCAGCACCACTTGGTAAACTTCCCCTTCTCTACTTTCCATTACAAAGGTTTGAGGTGTTTTTTGTTTGTTTGTTTGTTTTTTGTTTTGTTTTGTTTACCATCTGAATATTAAATTATTGCAAAGTTTGAGGCCCCCAACTTCCCTTAGGTTCAGTAATTCACTAGAAGGACTCATAGAACCCACTGAAGTGGATACACTCACAGTTACCATTTATTACAGCAAAGGAAGCTGACTTAAGTCTGCAGAGGAACCGGGCACAAACTTCCCATTGTCCCCTCCCTGTGGGGTCATGTGGACACTTCTCCCAGAAAGACGTGTGATGAGACGTGGGAAGTACTGCCAACTTGGGAAGCTCTATGAGCCCCGGTGTCCAGAGGTTTTATCAGGGCTCAATCACACAGACCCAGCTGACCACCCACGCGGCTGACCTCAGTCTCAGCCCCTCCAGAGGCCAAGCCAATAGTGTGGCCCGAGGCCCTGCCATCATCACATTGTCAGCTAGACCATCCAGCATGGCCCAAGGTCCGGGTAAACACCAACATTCCCTCAGGGCTTAGCGATCACTTCCCAGGAAATGTGTGGTCACCCTTCCAAGGGCTTAGCGATCACTTCCCAGGAGCCAAGGCAAAGGCTACCCTTTCCCTGGGAACAGCAGCTCATCCTTGACCACCCAAGACCACATTCTCACACTGAACGAGCTCTCCGGCACAGCAGCCACTTTCTTCTCTAAGTAGAAGAGAGCCCAGCAAGGTGGGGCAGGCTGAAGAGAGAGGCTTCCTGCTGGTCATCTGGGTCCAGAATGCCTGGGGATCTCTGCTCAGCCGCCCTGGTGTGCATCCTGCAGGGCAGGCCTTCCCGCCGGAGTCCTGGACTTACTCAGGGCCACTGCCCTTGCCCACATCAATCAAAGTCGGGCTGCCAGTTCTGCTGCTTCTGCCTGAGCCCATGGCCAGTGCTGGGACTGACTGTCCCTAGGCGGGCTCACGGTGGCATGAGGCCAGCTTGGAGGACTGTCTCAGCGCTCTGGTCCCCTCATCAGTTGAGTCTCTGATTGGAAGTCCCTTGGACACTTTTACCATCCCTACGGGACTTTCACTTTCCCCCCGGCTCCCCTCAGCTTCCCATCAGCTGCTCGGAAGAGTGGTCACCCTGGAGGCCACTGCCCACCAGCCAGACACCCCCCAAATGCAACTGCAGCCAGCGCTGCCCCCGACTGGCAAGGCTGTTCAGACATGTGACTCCTCTGATCCAGGCCTTGTCCTTTGGATCAGTCCACGGAGCAGGCGGTGCCAAGCTCAGGCTCTGTCGCCCACAGCTCAGTGCCCCTTCCAGGCAGAACGCCGCTGCTGACTTAGGGCACGGCCTCCCCCGGGGCTGGCTCTCACTGACCCAAAGAGGCCCCTCTCAGGGTATCCCCTTCCTGTCCGCAGACAAGGACGACCAGCTGATCTGCGTGAACGAGAACGGCGGCTGTGAGCAGTACTGCAGTGACCGCGCGGGTGCCAAGCGCTCCTGTTGGTGCCACGAGGGGTACTCGCTGCTGGCAGACGGGGTGTCCTGCATGCCCACAGGTGACCAGGCTTCACGTCCCAGTCCCAGATGACACCAGTCCCTGTCCCACTACGGATTCTCTTACTGGACAAAAGACGGGTGGGGGTGGCTCCACATCTGAGCACCAACCATGCGCTGACCAACCGTGAGGCAGGATCTGGGCACCAAGGGTGGCACAGGCCAGAGCGACAGTGACTAGAATGGGCACCCTGGGGGCAGTCCCTGAATGGCCTCAGGCCCCCTACCCATGCTAGGCAGACCAGGGGAGCCAAGCAAGGCTCTATCTCACGTCCAACTCCCACTCGCAGGACCTCCGCTGGGGTTCGTGAATCTACCTTGGCACAGGCAGTGTCTGTACTGACTGCTGCCCGCCCTGAATTCCAAAACTTGTAAAGGCTCCTGGGAAAATGGGATGTTTCTCCAAACCAGCCTGGAACAAATGGGCTGCACTTCCAAAGGCAGGGACACCCCACGCCCACTGTGTCTTGAAGAGGTGGACGTGCCCACCCTGGCCACACAGCCTGGGACTCAGCCCGCCACCTCCTCAGGTTTTCTTTCTGGCCCAAGACCTTGATTGGAGCAGATCAAAACTAAGCGTGGGATCAAAACAATAGAGTTGTTTGTGACGTTGATTCATCTTTAGGTAGAATTTCATTCACCTTTTACTAAAGTCAAGCAACACATTTTCCCCCTGAAAAGTGAGCAGAGGGCGATATTAAGACGTAAGCCCTCCATCTCCTCCAAAACCAGCCCTGACCACTGTCTCCTCAGCCAGCCACTTCCGCAAGGGCCTCTCATGGCTCAGCCCCACCAGTCAGGCCCAGCCGAGGCCCTGCCTTCCACCATCCCTGGGCCCTGGCAGCTCCTGCTCCTGGGGGCCTCCCATAGCCTCGGCCTCAAGGCCTCTCAGAGGATGGGTGTTTCTGAATCTTTCCTAGTGGCTCGTTCATCCTTCACAAATTTCTGCATCTTTCTGACTTTTGTTTTACACAGTTGAATATCCATGTGGAAAAATACCTATTCTGGAAAAAAGAAATGCCAGCAAACCCCAAGGCCGAATTGTCGGGGGCAGGGTGTGCCCCAAAGGGGAGTGTCCATGGCAGGTAAGGCTTCCCTTGGCTTCAGGATTCCAAGCCCTGAGGGTCTTGGAGCCTTTTGAATGTGAGCTGAACAACAGCTCTGGAAGGGAAAATGGGCAGGTCAGCCCCAAGGCCACCAGGCTCCAAGTCAGCCCACCTAGAACCTCCAGCTCGCTGCACCCCCATGCTTTCAGTGGGGCAAGGAAGGAGAAAAGAAGACGACACTCGCTGAGGGTCTGCCCTGTGCAGAGAACCCTGCGAGATGCCCCTCCCGAGCTGTCACGTCGTCCTCACTGTTACTCTTTGAGGTGGGATCTTTGCCTGATCTTTGCAAAATCAGGAGCATTGGATCAAAGCTATGTGAAGATCCCGTGAGGTGAACAGTGAAATCTCACAGCGACGTTTGTATTGTTGGGCTGTGCCCAAGAGCACGTCTCGGCTAGAGAGGGGCACAGCCTCCCAGAGCCAGGTCTGAGCAGCTTTGCGTGGGAGGGATCTGCAAAGACCCCAGGATTTCAGAAACAAATTGTGCAATGCCAGAGGTCCCTTGGTGTGCCCGGGAGGGCGAGTCATCAGAGAAACAATGACAGTAATGTGACTTCCATGCCTCCTGTCCCCCCGCCCAGGTCCTGTTGTTGGTGAATGGAGCTCAGCTGTGTGGAGGGACCCTGATAAACACCATCTGGGTGGTCTCTGCGGCCCACTGTTTCGACAAAATCAAGAGCTGGAGGAACTTGACCGCGGTGCTGGGTAGGTGCCGCTCTCCCCTGTGTGACCGCGGTGCTGGGTGGGTACCACTCTCCTCTGTCTGACCGCGGTGCTGGGTGGGTACTGCTCTCCCATCTGACTGCTGTGCTGGTTACGCGCCGCTCTCCCGTCTGACGATGGTGCTGAGTAGGCGCCACTCTCCCCTGTCTGACCACGGCTCTCAAGTGTCTTAGGGGCCGCAGCTCTGGGCTTCGTGCTGTCACTTCCACAGACAGACAGACATCTCCAAAAGGGGAGCAACTGTGCTAGGCATGACTGCTGTGGCCACCGTCCCCTCAGCCACTTTCCCATGCCCAAATAAAATGGTAAAAGACAGGGGTTCTGCCCATCCTGCCTCACCTGGCCAAGAGCCCATAGGAGGATGCAACTCCCAGGGCTTCGTGGGACCACTGGGTGTCAGGGACTGTGCTCACTGGGTTTACAGGTGAGATGAACATTCCCAGGAGGGCACTTGGCTGGGAAGAACTGTGGAGAATCAGGGCACGCCCTGCCCCCCCAGCTGCCAGGTCGCAGCACCCCTTCCCCACCTCAACACCCAGGCCCCAGATTCACCCCAGTTCACACGTCCCCACATGAGCCACAAGGTGCCACCTGCGGCAGGCTGGCCAGGTCACCTTGGGGTTGGATGCAGGCCCCCCTCGCCCCAAAAGGAGACTGCAGCCCCTGCAGACCTAGAAATGGCCACAGCCCGTCCCCATGCACCAGGGGGCGAGGCAGCAGGTAGTGGGATGGGCCTGAGCAAGGCTCCCTCCTTCCAGGCGAGCACGACCTCAGCGAGCACGAAGGGGATGAGCAGAGCCGGCGGGTGGCGCAGGTCATCATCCCCAGCACGTATGTCCTGGGCGCCACCAACCACGACATTGCGCTGCTCCGCCTGCAGCGGCCCGTGGTCCTCACTGACCATGTGGTGCCCCTCTGCCTGCCCGAACGGACGTTCTCCGAGAGGACGCTGGCCTTCGTGCGCTTCTCGTTGGTCAGCGGCTGGGGTCAGCTGCTGGACCGTGGTGCCACAGCCCTGGAGCTCATGGCCCTCAACGTGCCCCGGCTGATGACCCAGGACTGCCTGCAGCAGTCACGGAAGGCGGAAGCCTCCCCGAATATCACGGAGTACATGTTCTGTGCCGGCTACTCGGACGGCAGCAGGGACTCCTGCAAGGGGGACAGTGGAGGCCCACACGCCACCCGCTACCGGGGCACGTGGTACCTGACAGGCATCGTCAGCTGGGGCCAGGGCTGCGCGGCCGTGGGCCACTTCGGGGTGTACACCAGGGTCTCCCAGTACATCGAGTGGCTGCAAAAGCTCATGCACTCAGAGCCACGCCCAGGCATCCTCCTGCGAGCCCCATTTCCCTAGCCTAGCAGCCCTGCCCCCTGGAGAGAAAGCCAAGGCTGTGTAGAACTGTCCTGGCACAAAATCCCATCGATTCTTCTGCAGTTCATGGGGTAGAGGAGGGCATGGGAGGGAGGGAGAGGTGGGGAGGGAGACAGAGACAGAAACAGAGAGACAAAGAGACAGAGAGAGACTGAGGGAGAGATTCTGAGGACATGGAGAGACTCAAAGAGACTCCAAGATTCAAAGAGCTTAATAGAGACACAGAGAAGGAATAGAAAAGATGAGATGCAGAGGCAGACAGGCGCTGGACAGAGGGGCAGGGGAATGCCGCGGTTGTCCTGGAGGCAGACAGCCCAGCTGAGCCTCCTTATCTCTCTTCAGCCAAGCCCACCTGCCCGTGATCTGCTGGCCTCAGGCTGCTGTTCTGCCTTCATTGCTGGAGACACTAGAGGCATGTACACACGTGGATGCATACACACACACCAATGCACACACACAGAGATATGCACACACACGGATGCACACACAGAGGGTCACACAGAGATATGCACATACACGGATGCATATACACAGATATGCGCACACACAGATGCGTGCACACCACACCAATGCACACACACACTAATGCACACACACGGATGCAGAGAGATATGCACACACCGATGTGCACATACACAGATATGCACACACACAGATGCACACAGATATGCACACACACGGATGAGTGCACACACACCAATGTACACACACAGATATGCACACACGGATGCACACACACCAATGCTGACTCCATGTGTGCTGTCCTCCAAAGGCGGTTGTTTAGCTCTCACTTTTCTCGTTCTTATCCATTATCATCTTCATTTCAGACAATTCAGAAGCATCACCATGCATGTTGGCAAATGCCCCAAACTCTCCCCCAAATGTATTTCTCCCTACGCTGGGTGCCGGGCTGCACAGGCCGTTCCCCACCGGCTTCCCAACTTCACAATAAATGGCTGCATCTCCTCCGCACGCCTGTGGGGCCTGCCACCCACCGTGTAGCCTGTGATTCATTTTCAGAGCCCCCAGTGCTCATCCTCTGAGATGCTTTTTTCTTTCACAGTTTTCAGCATCACTGAAATGAACCCTCACATGGCAGCTGTTCTTTTTAAAAACAAAAGCTCTTTGATAGATGTTTGAGGCTGTAGCTCCCAGGACCCTGTGGAATTGGATGTTCTCTCCCTGCCACAGCCCTTGTCAATGATATTTCGCAGAGACCCTGGGAGCACCTGCTCGAGAATCAGGGACATACCACTAAATGGAGGGTCCCAGGCCCTGGCTGCAGTGGGAGGACCTGGCAAGCTGCACTCTTGCTGAGTCCCCAGGGTGGTGGGGGAAGAATGAGAAACACATGAGCAGAGAAATGGGGAGGTGACAGACACTGCTCGCACTCAGACTCCGGCAAGCATGGCTCAGAGAGCGGACTCAATGCCATCCCTGCAGGGCCGTCCTGGGCACCAGTGGCGCTCACAGCAGCAAGGCAGGCACCAGCAACCCACCTCAGGGGCACTCAGGCAACATCTACTTTAGAGCAGACAGGGTCCGTGAACTACAGCCGAGGGCTGCTTCCAAGCCACCCTGCTCTTGTAAATAAAGTTTTATGGGAACACACCCACGTTAGTGTCCATGGAGTGGCCGTGACAGAGATGTCCAGCCAGACAGACCAGCTGACCCACCAAGCCCAGCATGATTAGTGTCAGGACCTCTGCCGAAGATGCTGGCTGACCCTGGCCAGACCCCAGTTCCTAATGCCCCCACACAGGGACGGGGGCCAGTGGCGGGCCCTGATCAGGTCAGAGCTGGCTCTGCTTTCTCTTTCGTCCGAGTGACTGGGGAGTCATGTGGGGTCCTGGTGGGGTGCCAGCCTCCCTTCTTGCCAATGGGAACTGCAGGCACCCACCTCACGGTGCCGCTGAAGGAGGGGGCCCAGGACTGTCCAGAAACTTTGCTGAAGGGCCTGGGCACCCTCAAAGGCTACATTTCTTATGGGATGTGCCACCTGCCATGGCTCAGCTCCAGCTTTCTGTGAGTGGCGAGATAGAATACAGGGAGGCCACTGGCCATGGGCCTGCGACAGGGTGGGGCGAGGCGGCAGGCTCGGGCCTCCAAAGCCAGCATCACCACCCAGCGTTGATGACAAAGACTGCATGTCTGCCATGAGCATCCTGCTGCTGGTGCACACACCACATTGGTCTCTCCATACAAACGTGCCTAGAGGCGATGTCGGAGTGTGGAGACCAGGAGAGGCAGGAGTCAGACATCTGGTGCCACCAGGAAGGCCCCTCTCAGAGGACTGGGCTGTGCGTGGTGCCCACCGTGGGAGGCCACCCTGGCGTTGGCACCCAGTGCCATCAGTTTGTGTAGTCGGGTGGGGCCCAGTGAGCACCTCCTGTGTGCCAGGCACAATGACGCACAATGTGTGCACACCAGGCCCAGGTGCAGGTGGCTGTGAGACGGGCAACACATCAAGGCAGACACACCGTGAGGCAGTGGCCAGCACTGTGGGTTTTAGGGGCGTTGCTCCGGCCACTACGGCATAGTAGGTAGTGATTGCCACACTGGCCAAGTTTTAGACCATTTATTCCAGGGACCCCAGAAGCAAAAATCCTGGCTGCACCTCCCGGTGACTCCCATAGCCATTGAGCGGAGACGCTCAGGGACCTGGTGACAGGAGGTTTCTGTGCTGGAGAATGAGCCCAGAAGCCCTCTCAGCCTCGGAACAGTGTGGCCAGTGGTGGGCAGGTCAGGAGGGGTTTCAGACAGAGCCTGTCCCTCCAGATGGTCAGGGGAGGGCCACTCCCCACAGAAGTACATGTTGGGACCATGTGGACACAGAAGGTTTGGGGGTGGGTGGGGCAGGTACCAGCCTGGCCTGTGGGAGACCGTGGTGCAGATGCCAAGCCCCCCCGTGACATCAGACCACCTGACACCACCCAGAGAATGGCCGTGAGCGGAAGGGCCCGCCCAGAAGCAAGCAGGGCCTTGGGGCAGAAGTCCTGGGCTCAGACCCCGCACTCACTGCTGGTGGCCCCGGGCTCCGGCTTCTGTGCTCTCTGTGTAGTTTTCTGTTCTGGAAAAATGATATTTTTATGTGATTGTGAGGACTGAGAGCTAGATGTAAACATCTGGAAACTACAAAACAAGCATGAAATGATGTTTTTATTCTTAGAACAGAAAGTCCCCGCGCCCGCGGATCTGGTGACCGATGAGGATGAGGTTCTGCGGGGCCTCTCCAGCTGCCCAGCTCTGCCTGGGGAAGGTGGGGCCAGAATGGCTGTGTTCCCAGCGTGGTCATTCCCCTGCGTCGCCAGCGGGCCTCGGCTCCAATCAGGGGGCCTAAGCCAAGTGACAAGCAGCCGCACAACAGCCATCCCGGCCGGGGCGTGGACTTTGCTCCGGCAGCCTGTCCCCGTGAGGACAGGCACACGGTATCGGCCACACCATGGGGCGCCCACTGCACCTCGTCCTGCTCAGTGCCTTCTTGGCCAGCCTCCTGCTGCCCGGGGAAAGTCGTAAGTGCCCCCCGCCCTTCAGGCCCAAAGGCAGCCCTGGGGAGCAGGGAGGGGCGGCAGTTGGGGGAACCCTCTCATCTCCGCAGCCTGGACAGTGGGTGTCTTGGCCTCTGTCAGAGGCTGGCCTCAGATGGCTGGGCTTGGCCTTTCCAGCCAAGGGCGTCCTCAAGGCCAGCTGTGGCTCCCTGTGGCTGAGAGTCAGACGGGAGGATCAGAGGTCACAGAGACAAAAACACAAGGACGGAGTCAGCGAGAGAGAGAGGGAGAGGGAGGGAGAAACGGAGACACAGTGAGATGAGAGGCCAAAAGGCAAAGACAGAGATAGACAGGGAGACAGAGACAGAGGGAGAGGTGGGAGCAGGCAAAGACAGGAGAGTTGGCCGTCTGCCACCACAGGGAGGCACAGGACGAGGGGCACAGCAGAGGAGCTCCCAGGGAAGAGGAGGCTGAGCCGAGCCAGTGCCACCACCCTGGGACTGGCTCCACCTGGGAAGGGGCTGCCTAATGCACAGCTGGACAGGTGGGAGCAGCAGGGCTGTCCAGGATCCCCAGGCCTCTCCAAAAGCAGAGGCCCAGAAAGGGCAGAAGCCAGGCAAGGCTGGGGGCAGCGGAGGAAGAGGAGGCCCCTCTGGTGGGGACACGAGAGACGGGGACCCTAGACTTGTTTGCATCCTGGATAAAGTGGACAGGCAGGGGCACCAAGGGGACCCAGGCCTGGGAAGGGAGTGTGTAAGGGAGAGATGGAGCAGGGGAGACCCTCGTGGGGTGGAAAGCGGAGACTCCCGGGAAGGCTGAGTGGATCCTCAGTGCATCGCTGACCTAAACGGCCCCTCTGCCTGGTGGCCTGGAGCTCCAGTCACATCACCCGGGGGGTCTTCTCCATCCCACCCTCAGTCCCCTACCCTCCCCAGCCTCTGTCCCCTGAGCCATGTCTTCCCATCTCCCGCACAGAACGGAACTCTTCATGGGGTACTGTGTGGCTCCGTCTCGCCCAGCCTTCTCCCCGCCCCTCAGGCCACCCCGCCCCGTGCAGGAGCCCACCGTGATGCGTGTGGTGCGATGAGATCAGCGCAGGTGCAACAAGGCCCTGGAAGGGCCCATGCCGTCATCGTCGACAGCAAAGCCACTCTGCAAACAGACAGATGCTTCATTGCATTGGTAGAAAATTCTGCAACCAGAATGCTCAGGGCTTCTGAGATCCTAAGCCCAGCCCGAGGCTCTGGAAGCTGCTCTGGCTTCTTGGGAGTGGAAGTTGGCAGGACTTCTCTTCCTGGGAAGAAGCAGAGGGTGGAGATGAGAGGACAGGCCAGGAGCCCACCCAGACCCACAGGAGGAAACTAGGGGAGTCACGCGGGGTCCTGGTGGAGCGCCAGCCTCCCTTCCTGCCAATGGGAAATGCAGGCGCCCACCTCACGGACTTCTGGGTCCACAGGGTCTTGACACCCTTAGCTGTGTGATGCAGACCTGACCCATGACCATGGCCTGTGGTGTCCCCGGGGGCCGGCCTGGACCCTGGGTGGACATGATCAGCCCCAGAGAGCCAGGGCCAGGCCATCTCCCTCCCCTACTCCGCCTGAGAGACCTCGGCAGCTGCACTGTGGGGTGGGTGGGGCTGAATGCAGAAGGTCCCAGCCAGGACCCTGCTGTGCACACTTTTGATTTTAATAGAATCGGAACGCGCACAGCATCTGCAGTTCAGCCTTTAAATGAACTCGGCTGTCCTGCCTGTCACGGAAGCTCTTCTGGGACAGTGGGACCTCAGCACTGCTTTGCTGGTACTGCTATAAGAAAAGACCATGGACCAAGTAGCTTAAAGCAACAGAAATGTTTCTCCTACAGCTCTGGAGGCTGGAAGTTCAAAATCAAGGTGTCAGTGGTGCTGGTTCCTCCAGAGGCTGGGGGAGAGTCTGCTCCGAGCCTGTCTCCCGGCCTCGGGGTGCCAGTGGCTTCAGAGCCCGTGGCTTTTGGGAGCATTGCTCCCATCGCTGCCTCCATCATCGAGTGGGGTTCTCACCATGGCTGTTTTTCTGTTTTCTTTTCTCTCAGAAAGACACCAGTCATTGGATTTAGGGCTCACCCTATCCCATAAAATGGCTTCCTAACTAAATACATCACAAAAGTTCTATTTCCAATTGAGGTCACGTTCTGAGGCTCTGGGAAAGACATGAATTTGCAGGGATGTTATTCAGCCCTGTCCTGCCACCTGTGAGTGTTTTCTGCAATCCAATTTTTTATGTTAATAAAATCAGAATATGCAGAGCACCTGCAGTGCCAGCCTTTAAACCACTGCTGTTGCACTGGCAATCATTAAAGCTACGTGGCTTCAGTTTCAGTCTTTACATTCAGCAAGTTTAAGTCCCTTCTTCATGAGTTTGGACCTTAGTGACTGAAAATTTTGCTTGCTGATAAAACTTGCTCAAATGCAGTTGCTCACTGTGGAATTCACTGATGTTGCCAAAACCACAAACACAACCGTGTGCTCAAGGACTGCAATGCTCCCCACGGCTTCTGAAGAAACAAACCCACACAAAAAACATCTACCAGTCTGGACGCTCCATATCAGAGCTCTGGAGTGTTCCATTAATTTCTGGAGACAAGTGTCCAAAAACCTTGGCACGTTTTCATTTCGTTTTGCCAATCCCATTTTATTCACATCAGAAAGTGTGGCCACGTGGCCGAGGCCTGGCCTGCTCAGTCTGAATGAAGCATTGATGCGACTCAGCCATAGCAGAAGCGCCCAGGTTCAGTCCAGAGGGCCGAGCCAGGTGTGCAGTCTTTCCTTCATTCCCTCAGCACATATTGGTTAAGTTCCGGCCGCGCTAGGCACGGGGAAACAGCTGGGACCAAACGCGCCACGTCTTTTTCCAGCGGAGGGAAGGATGAGCCTGTCAGCACGTAATGTCAGAGAGGGGTTCGGCGCTAGAAGACAAATAGCACAGTGTTAAGGGGATGGAAGAGACACGAGTTGG